ATCAAAAATGTGGTGTTCAGTGATAATTTTTTCCCACCAGATAATTGTTATTTGTGTCTGAGATCTTCAATAACACCATCAATCTGGACAATACAGCACAGTCCATGCTGTGGAGAAAATAGGGGGGACTAGGTACGAACCAAACCCTGTCAATCCCTGGCACCACTTGGCCCATTGGCACTACAGGAGTGGCCCTGGATGCCTCTACTAGCACCTCTGGGTACAGCCCTGACGATCCCCCAAACTATGGGTTGAGCAGGACCACAAGCTCAGTCTGATCAATGAGCTGCCAGCCTAGCATTGAGTATTCCTGTTGTCCCAGGATTCCTGATCACTGCTTGAGACACCCTCAAAATTAAATAGAACAAAGTGATGCCTATATACAAGCCACATGCTCATCGAAAGGAAGCTCTTTTATCACCATGATCAGTCCCCATTTACGTCTGGCCATTTACGAGGAGGACCCCAGGACCAGCATGTTAACCTCTTAACTCCAGGGATTTATTACAGAAAACAAGATTTAAAAAATTTTAATCAATGGGTTGGAGAAATAGTGCAGTGGGCAGGGCACTTGCCTTGCACATGGCAGACCTAGTTTTATCCCTGGGACCCCGTATGTCCCCCCTCAAGTACCACCAGGAGTGAGAGCAGAGCCAGGAGCGAGCCCTGAGAACCACCGGGTGTGGGTCAAAAACAAACAAAAATAAAAGGAAGACAAAAGGTGAAAATCAGAAAAGAGCAAAGTTTCCTAGGTCGGTGACTGGAGAATTCAGGCTCAAGCCTGCCTGAGTGTCTCCTAGATGCAGGAAACTTACTCTCCAGCCCACCCCTCCTTCCTCAATTCACAGCCCTAAAACACTACTTGGAGAAACTAGCACTCAGGGGCTCTCTGGAGACAAGAAATGTGCATTAAGGAGAGAGAAAAAGAAGGAAAGTGCCTGCCATAGAGACAGTTGGGGGCTGTGGACATTGGTGGTGGGAAGTGTACACTTGTGGAGGGAGGAGTCGGTTCTCATGAATAAACTGGATCAGGAGATTATGGACAGCTTTGTAACTGTGTATCTCATGGGAATTCATTTTTTAAAAAAGGAAGGAGGGAAAGGAGGAAAGGAGGGAGGGAGGGAGGGAGGGAGGGAGGGAGGGAAAGTGAAAGAGAGAAAGAGAAAGGAAGAAAGGACAAATGAAGAAAGAAGGAAAGAGAGGAAGAAGAAAGGAAGAAAGGGAGGGAGGGAGGGAGGGAGGGAGGGAGGGAGGGAGGGAGGGAGGGAGGGAGGGAAAGTGAAAGAGAGAAAGAGAAAGGAAGAAAGGACAAATGAAGAAAGAAGGAAAGAGAGGAAGAAGAAAGGAAGAAAGGGAGGGAGGGAGGGAGGGAGGGAGGGAAAGTGAAAGAGAGAAAGAGAAAGGAAGAAAGGACGAAGGAAGGAAGGAAGGAAGGAAGGAAGGAAGGAAGGAAGGAAGGAAGGAAGAGAGGGAGGGAGGGAGGGAGGGAAAGAAAGAAAGGAAAAGAAAGAAAGAAAGAAAGAAAGAAAGAAAGAAAGAAAGAAAGAAAGAAAGAAAGAAAGGAAACAAAGAAAGAAAGAAGAAAGAAAGAAAGAAAGAAAGAAAGAAAGAAAGAAAGAAAGAAGGAAAGAAGGAAAGAAGGAAAGAAATAAGAAATAAAGGTGAATTATGCTTGCAGGCACAGTCTACACATGTACAAAAATTTCAGGCTCCAAGTAGGATAGCAGAGGTTGAGTATGAACAAATTATTTGCACAAACAGTTTGGCCAATGAAGCATTCTTATCAGAGAATGGCAGGAACCCTCTTTGCAAGGAACACATTGCAAGATTTTAAGTCTAGGGCCAACCTTGCAAGCAGGCTTTGCTGAAGATCAGCGTCCGGGGCCTGTCATGATAACCGTGTCCTATACCTGGCCATTGTTGCCCAGTCCTCCAGGAAACCACAGGTGTGGTTTTCCAACAGAATGAAGTCACCTGGCCAATTCTTTAAATTCATACCAATGGAATTACAAAGAATGACAGCTCACAAAACCACAAAATTTTCATGCAGAATCCAGAAAAAAACGAAATGTAGGGGGATGATTTAATCCTTCATTTTATTTTTGTCTTGTTGCATGGATTTTCTACCGTAGGGACCTTGGCCTTAGGCTGCTCCGGGTTCCCCCCACACGGCCTGCTACAAGAAAGGAGACCATCAGTCACTTGTCATTTGAAAGTCCCCAGGACTGAGGCCAGAGAGACAGGACAGGGATTAAGGCACTTGCTTTGCATTACAGCAGATCCTGATTTGGCCACCAACATTGTGTGTGGTCCCTCAGACACTCCCAGGAGCCTAAAGAAAACCCAGAGCACCACTGATTTGTCCCAATCCTACCACCACCACCACCACCCCCCAAAATAATAAAACCCCAAGTACGTAGGCCACTTAGGATGCTAGAACAAGGGGCTGGAGCAATAGTAAAGCAGGTAGGGCATTTGCCTTGCATGCAGCCAATCCGGGTTCAATTCCCAGTATCCCATGTGGTATCCCAAACACTGCCAGGAGTAATTCCTGAATGTAGAGACAAGATTAACCCCTGTGCATTGGCCAGGTGTGACCCAAAAAGAAAAGAAATGCTAGAACAAAGAACTCCAGTCTGGAGGGCTTCTAAATTCCCCAATGTGTAAGATCCTAACAGAAACCCACCCTAAGGTCAGGATAGTTCCCTGGGCAAAACAGCCTAAGTGTCGGAATATAAACTAGCAGCAAAAATGCCCTCAGGAAAGAATAGAATTGACTACTGGGCAAGCAAAATTGCACTCAGGCAAGAATATGATAAAATAGTTAAGGGTGTTTTAGCTTTAGAGGACAACATAGGTAATGATAGAAAAGGAAGTTGTCACTACTTTATTCTTTAAGATGTATGCTGATCACCAGGGGAAATACTCCAGTCTCTGCTCTTCACGTACCATTGAACGCTGATGTGTCTGGTAGGTGTTCTTAATGCTTCTGCAACTTAAAGAATAACTGGCACATTGGGAGCGAGAACGGGGTGTGGGGGTGATGCTCTGCTGAAGAAATGGCCTATGAACTCACTGAGGACTGCCCGAGTGACCCTAAATCTCAGAGAGTCTTTGTGTGTTTGTCTTTTTCTGTTTGTCTCAATCTCATATTGACCCCACTGGACAGAGGTTGAAGGAGCCAATTTGAATGACTTTAGACATCCCAGCTGTATTTCTTACATATCTGGAGGCTGAGCACCCCACGGTCAGTTTGCCAATTGGTTCCATCATGGCACAGGGTGCCAGAATGCCATCTCCGAGTGCATCCCCTCACAAGATGAAAGGGGCTGGGGGTGCCTGTGAGTCTCGCTTCAAAGAACACCGATTCTGACCATGAAGCATTCACCTCCAGGACCTAATCAATCATCTTCCCGAAGTTGACTTGGTTATGCTATGACTTTGGTATTAGGATTTCAATGCATGCACCAGGAGAGGGGGCAAGGGAGACACACAATTCACACACTGTTTTTTCATATTTTTTAATTTTTTTAATAATTTATTTATTTATTGAATCACTGTGGGAAAAGTTACAAAGCTTTCAGGTTTAGGTCTCAGTCATGCAAATATCAAACACATTTCCCTTTATGAATACTTATTTTTTACCACGAACCCCAATAAAACCCCACCTCCCACCCTTCCCAATTCCTGTGAGGCAGATGAGTTCTAGTTAACACTCTATCTACTTTGTCTAGATTCATTGTTTCGATAAAATATGCACCATTATTATTTAGAGTTTACCCCCCCCAATCAGACATGCTGAAAAAGCATTGTGAAATGATTTGCTTTCTACAGCTGGGTTCAAGAATTAAATGTCGCGTGGCCACAATAGCGGCCGCGCAGTTTTGGATTTCTGCTATTTTACTTATTAACCCTGGAAGCATTTCTGCTAAAAGTCAGATAATTAAGAGATTGGTTTCTGTGTTCTGTATTCGTGGCCGTGTCGCCATCTTTCTTTCCAGAGAGGAGAGGGCGAATGGGGCAACACCCTTTCCCCTCCGGGCAGGCATGATGATGTGGATTAACGCATAGTCCATTCGCTTTTCTACTCCAAGCTGCTGGTTTTCTGCATTAAGTCCTTGTGCTTCTGGGGCCGTGGCCGTTGGAGAGCCGTTCGTGGGTGACAACTGGTGACCTCGGTAGGGCATGAAGGACAGGCCAGAACGCTCCCTTTCCCATGAGGTTTTCGTCGCCCGCCAACCCCCGGCTCATACCTGCTGTCCACAAGGCTCCCGTGTGGCCGCCATCTTTCTTTCCAGGGAGGAGAGGGCGAAGGGAGCAACACCCTTTCCCCTCCGGGCAGGCATGATGGTGTCACATATTGTTTTTTTAAATAAGTTTTATTGGATCACCATGAGATACAGTTACAAACTTGCATGATTGAATTTCATTCGAACAATGCTCAAGCACTCATACCTCCACCAGTGCCAATTTTCCACCACCATTGTTCCCAGTGTTCCACCTGCCACCCCCACCCCTTCCCACTCCTTGCCTCTGTGTCAGGTACCATCCTTCTTTCTCTCTCTCTAATCTCAGGCATTATGATTTGCAATACAGATACTAAAAGGCCATCATATTTGGTACTTGGTTTACTTTCATCACACATCTCCCATCCCGGGAAATTCCTCCAGTCATCATTTACTTCATGGTTCCTTTTCCATCCCAACTGCCTTTTCTCCCAGCACAAGGAGCTGGCTTCCAAACCATGGTGTGATCCTCCTGGCCCTTATCTCTATTGGCCTTAGGTGTTAGTCTCATATTATGCTACTTTATATCCACAAATGAGTGCAGTCATTCTATGTCTCTTTCTCTCTTTCTGACTCATTTCACTTAGTATGATACTCTCCATGTCCATCCACTTATATACAAACTTCATGATTTCATCTCTTCTTAGAGCTGCATAATATTCCATTGTGTTGATATACCAGAGTTTCTTTAACCAGTCATCTGTTCTCAGGCACTAGGGTTTTTTCCAGATCCCTGATATGTTAACAGTGCTGCAATAAACATACAAGTTCAGGTGTCAGTTCTACTGTGTTTTTTTTTATTTTTGCATCTCCAGGAGCAATTTACACACTTTGACATCTTCATTAAACTGATAAGAACAGATAATACACTTGATCTTAGCCAAAAGGCCGAGAAGCAGAATCTCCTGCCCCCATGCCTGGCTGTCCTCGCCAGGGTCCCTGGGAGGGGGCGTGTTGAGTTTCTCTCCCCACCCCAAACAGAGCTCCAGCAGTCAAAGACCTCCAGAACCAGCCACCACCATGCTGAGACCACTCTCCACACACATGAAGTTACTGGCAGAGGAACAAAGGCATGCAGGTCCCGGGGCTGAGATCTCCAAGCCTGCTTAGATCAGGGCTGAGCATCCTCCACTCAGATCCTCCATCTTCCAGTAGGCAGGGGTCACACCCACCATCTGACCCCCAGCGCTGTGTAATCCCATCAACGGTCAAGACCCAGAGACTATAAAACCCAGCTCCTGGAAGCGCGCGGCCACATTGCGGCCATGCAACATCTTATTATCTCATTCTTACTTTGGACAACCTGGTAGGTTACCGAATGTTACCTGCCCACAAGGCAGAGTCTGGCAAACTCCCCGTGGCATACCCAATATGCCAAATACCAGTAACAATGATGGGTCTCATTCTCCTAATCCTGAAAGAGCATTGAATACGGTACTTTTTAAAATCTCAGGGCTAGGACGAAGGAGACGTTACTGGGGCCTGCTCGAGGCAATCGACGAACAACAGGATAATCGTGATTGTGATCGTGACATCTTCATATGAACCAAGAATCTGGAATGGCTTGGAATTTATGATAAGAGATGGATCTCTTCCAGCCGAGGCCCAGTGCAAAGAAGGCACCTGTGCTGAAATTCAAGATTATCAATTATCAGGAATCAGTGGTATGGAAAATCTCTGGGATGTAGCCTCTGGAGAGATGATACTGAAGGAAATCACCATTCAAGGTGACAATAATGTATAATTGGGGTGGTTTGGGGGGCCACATCCACCACACCCAGCTAAGGTCAGGGCGTGCCCCCCTCTTTGCACAGAGATCATTGCTAACAGGACTTGAGAACCACACGGGGTGATGGGAATTCCACTGGGCCAGCTTTATGCAAAACAAGTGTCATACCACTGTTGTGTCTCCAACATTGACAAAGTAGTCCTTCCCTTCCCTGCAATGACAGGAGACTGTCCACACTTGGCTGTGGTGCACCCCAAGCATCATGCATAGACTGCAGTGCTCTCATACACCAGCCGCAGCCATGTTCGTGACCTGTACATGTTCAGCTCTAGCGCTTGCACACAAGGTCACTAGGCTTAGCATGTTCTGAGTCAGGATGTCCAGGCACACTTTTACTCTAGTGTCCATTGAGGGTCGCTGTGGTACCCACAAAGTGCTCTCTGAGTTTCACTCTTGGGACCAGGCTGCTATCACATCCTGAGAGAGGTACTACTACAGGGAGTGGAGAGGACACAGCCACTGTGGGCCCAGCGCCCCAAGCAGTAAAGCACTGCATGCGGTAACCCCAGGACTGAAGCCTTACAGCTGCCTGTTATGATGGGAGAGTGGTCTTATTTTTATTACTAAACCGTCCCCTGGTCTCCAGAGAATGTTTATATGTCTTTAAATCACTGTCACTGTCACTGTCCTCCCATTTTTCATCAATTTGCTCGAGCGGGCCCAGTAACGTCTTCATTGTGAGACTTGTTGTTACTGTGTTTGGCATATTGTTTGCTGTGCAGGCAAGATACTCTCTTAGCTTGCCAGGCTCTCCAACAGGGGGCAGAGGAATTGAACCCAGGTTGGCAGGGTTGGCCGCATGCAAGGCAAACACCCTACCCTCTGGCCTATTGCTCCAGCCCAGTTTTTAAATATCATTCCAAGCCCCAGCTAGTTTGATTTGTTCAGCAGTGTTGACCTTTGTTAAAGAGCTTGTGAGGGCGAAACTGATGCCACAACAAGCTGCAGCTAACACTGAGTCTCAGCTAGGTCTCAGTTTCTCTCTCCCCAAATCAGGGCTAGCAGTTTCTGGTAAACTCCCAATTGAGTAATTTGCCGAGATAAGGAACTGGGCAAGTTGGGTCTGGCCAGTCATGAGGGGACACTGTGCTCTCCTTGGATATACCACAAACCGTTACTGAAAAATTATTGTCTAATTGCTGACCACTGATGTAATAAGGCCAGTGCTAAAAGTAACCTAGTATATAAACTGCTCTTAACTTTGGAATGTATATAAGCCACTTGTGATTTGGAGTCAGGGTCTTATCAAAACTCCTCTGTATTTGATGAGACTTGGACACTAGCTCGAGCTAGCAATAAAGTTCCTTTGCTTTTGCATCATTGTGTGTGGATTTGGTCTCTCCACAATTGGAGATCTGAAACAAGCTGGCTGGGGCAGGGTGCAGGCCAGGCGTACACAAAGGAACAGGAGAAATATTGGACTCCCCTGGATTCTGGGAGGAGATCACAGTGAGACTTACGGATGCTCAGTTCATGCCATAAAGTGGACTGCAGTCATTGTCATGGAAGCCATTGTACATCAGACCCTAGAATTAAAAATATTTCCCCTGTGACCTTTATAGCTTTAGTATATTAATAAGAAAAAATATTTAACAAATATTTGAAGAGACAAGTAAAGGTCAAGATCAAAATCTGGGCCTACCCCTTTTGCTCTGCCTTTCCCACAAAATAGACTCACTGTCTTCATTTCTTGCAAATGTATCTTCCGGTGGGATCCAGCTTCCCAGCCCTCTCGTGCTAGCCAAGACTTCATTCCGTTGAATGCTTTTATTCATCCTAACTCTTCTAACTAGTTTGTATTTCTCCTTCCTCTCTGTTAGGAAAGAAACATGGGTTCATTCTGGAGAATACACCTAAGTTCGTTCCATGGAGAGTCACTAATTTACTTGGCAATTAAAAACAAACTCTTCCTTTGTCACCCTGTTTTGTTTGCTTTTTATCATAAAATGTCACTTTGACTTTTAATACAGCCATCTTGTTTTCCCCCTTTTTTCAAAGATTAAATGAAATCTAAGTTGCTTAGAAGCAGAGAATGTGTTTTCTCATTGTTATGTTTCCCATATTTGAAGCTCTACATTTGCACAAGTAGTGAGTCACAAAGATGTATATCTATAGTTCATACCATCATATATTAATTATGTGCCTTTCTCCACAAATAACATACTCTCAGTCAATTAGCTGATATTTTTCCTTCATAAGATGAACACCAGTAATGAAGTTATACTTTTATAATATTATATATTAATTTAAAAAATTCCTCTTTCCCAATGCATGCATTTTAATGTTTTCTATTCACATGTCTTAATCGTAAAATATCCATTGAGCATTTAAAATGCAAAATTTAAGGAGAATGTTATTATCACTATCATTCTTCTACATAGGCAGATTCAGCTCATAAAATTTAATCTATTTTAAGAGAATATATGACTCAGTTTCTTTTTAACACTTAAAATATAACTCTTGACTTTCTAATCATGTTGGTCAATTGCTTTCATTGTGGAAGAGCAGCATGAGAAGTTGTCTAGGCCTTGACAATTGTCTTGGCACCAATCATCTTCCATTAAGGCTAATAAGGAGGTCCAAGAAGAACACAAGTGTGCCAGGCAAAAGAAGAGAGTTTAGTCCTCATTTATGGAAAGACGCACTCATTCCAACACTCCATAATAGTTCATAATATTATGAACTCCATACTTGTTCATAATAGTGGCCACATAAAACTTTATTCAGGTTCATTTTATTTCTGAGATATTTGACATGCTAACTATTCTTTACTAGGATCAAGCTGAAGTTGTTAAAACAAAGATATTAATATTTTCTCTGAAAAATTAATGTCAGGCTGGATCAATTAGACAGCAGGTAGAGAACTTCAATTGCATGTAACTGACCCAGGCTAGTTCCCCAGCACCACATATAGTTTCCTGAAGACTTGCTAGGTGTGATCTCTGAGCTCAGAGCCATGAGTAAGCCCTGGGCACTGCCAGGTGGGGCCAAAACAATACCAAAAATGTATATATGGCCATGTGCTATGATGCCATATTTGTCACAGATGCATACCAGGTATGTGTTCCTTGCAATAAATGTTAAAAGAATACAATTAGGTTGCCCTATGTTCAATTACACACCTTCAAACACAGATATAGGCAACATAATTTAATAAATATTTTTGAATTAGATTTTAAATCACGATAAGTAGAAATAAATTTAAAAGTGTGCATGGTAACAGAAATTATCCTCGCATATGACACTTGGTGTATTCAACTCAAATAACTATTTTTTATAATTTCCTTTACTGAAATATAGAGATTTTATTTTTATAAAATGTGCGAATGATGCAGAGTTGGGGTAGACAGCACGCCTGATCAATTACACTTTAAACCCCTCCAAAAACCCTCCAAATAGTCAGATGAGTGATCTGACTTTTAGTAGGTTATTAGTAATTTTTAGCAGGTTATTAAGGTTAAACTGAAGGTCTTGCTTTAGGCATGAATTCTGCTATCCAAATTGCCTGTATAGGGAACATAAATAAGCTGCTTGCAGTAAAAAGTACTTGTTATTCTAAACATAATTAAGTTAACACAAATCTATGCTGCAATATTTTTCCTAATGTCTAATGAGCATTTAGGTTTCATTAATAACAATAAATTATTTAGAAAACTATTCTCTAGAGTGGAATCTACAAAATGATTCACAGAGGAAAGGAGAGAATATATATTATATACTTATTTAAACTTAATTTTATGTAAGTTAATGAGTGCTGTTTCATCGGTATTAGAAAACTAGTTGATAATCATCATAATTATTTAAAAGACATTATTGTAATAACTTTTTTGTAGTTAAGACATTTCAGATTTTTAAATTTTTTGTAACACAGGTGAAATGTGAAATAGTAACGCAGGTGAAATAGTTCCTAAATTATCATTGGAAGGCGAAATTTTGCTGCTTCATCTTCTATAGATTGAGTTCATCTCCAAGTATTTATTATATCAGACTTTCACAGTGATGTAAGATTCACCATTACAGATTTGATTGAAAACTGAGAACTTCTTCAAGATCAAACTCCTGAACTAAGAAGATATCTCTAAGAGATCTAGACCTCAAGACCAATCTCTAC